TTTACTTTTGTTAAAAACAGACTCAACACACACATTAGCCTAGGTCTGCATAGGGTCAGAACCATCAATATCACTATGTCTTCCACCTCCACATCTTATTTCACTGGAAGGTCTTCAGGGGCAATAACACACATGGAGCTGTCATCTCCTATGAGAACAATCCTCCTTCTGGAATACCTCCTGAAGGACTTTCCTGGGGCTGTTTTATGGTTAATTGTGTGTGTGTATTTTTTTTTTTTAAATAAATAGAAGGGATACACTGTAAAATCATGATGTAAAGTATAGTATAGTAAATGCATAAGCCAGTAACATAGTCGTTTATTATCATAATCAACTATTATGTACTGCACATAATTGTATGTGCTAGACTTTTATATGACCGTCACTGCAGTAGGTTTATTTACACCAGCATCACCACAAACATGAGTAGTGTGTTGTGCTATGGTGTTATGATGGCTATAGTGTCTCTAGGTGATAGGAATTTTCAGCTCCATTTTAATCTTATGGGACCATCATTATGTATCTGGTCTGTCGTTGACTGAAACATCATTATGCAGTGCATGACTGTACTTCTGACTTTTTCATGTTTTTCCCTACTAAGAAATCAACATCAATTAAAGTTTATGTAAACCATTTTGAGTGAAAAGTATAAACATTATTTCATTCAACAGGTCTCTGGAAAAGTTTCTTTGATGTCCACAATTCCTATGAATCAAGATGGACTAATTATATTTTTGAGTTCATGTCTAGACACTCTTGAAAATTGTTGCAGCAGTATTTCCCATATCTGTTTCAACTGCTCCTCTCTAGGCCAACTAGTATCCCAGCCTTCTGCCAGCTACTAGCTACATGTAGAGGTATATGAAGTAGATGTTAGGCTTTCCACTGTTTCTGTATGTTCCTATACTTAATAATCACCAAACTCTTGCAGGCCCTTAATATATGTTAGTAATGAACATCTTTTGGTTTTATCACTTTTTACCATTTTCTTGCCTGATTCATGCACTAAAGTGAATGAACAGGGCCAGTTGCTTTCTACCAGAAACCTTGGTTTTCTGGGGAAATTTGTAAAGATCTCTAGATTAGTTCTTGATTTGGCATGACTGATTAAGCAAGCAGCTGTTTACTAAGAGGCACAGCTGAGAGTAGAACAATTTAATTAGCTTCTATCAAGCCTTAAATGGAAGCCACAGCTTGAATATATGGAGCTCTTTATTGAGTTTTAAATGAAACATTTTTGCAAGGGGAGACTCTCAATGTATATCCCAAAGTCTTGCCTAAAAATAATTCTGTTGACAATAATAGTATTCATCCAGTATAACAAAGACTTAAAAACTTGATTTTGGCAGGGGCGATGAAGTACATTTTTTAATGGAGAATTGTTTGAGTGCTTTTAAATATATTAGTTAAATGAACAATTCATAAAATGGATGAGGTATGATATAAATGTTTTATGACAGCTTTCAGCATTCATGAAATAAATGGCTCGTATACATTTAATTTTAACAAAACTAAATGAGCAGCCCATACCCACCTACTGCTCTAGGACCAGCAGAGAGCATACAAAAGTTTTCAGGGCAAACCTCCTCACATTGAAGATTAGATCTCCATTCTCTTCTGGTTACTGATTATATATATATTTTTCCAACTTTGTATCTATCTGGCTTCCTATTTGCTTTAATCTTAGAAAAGCATTATTCTCCTTACATCCCACTTAGCAAATTATGGTGATGCTTAATTTATATATAAAACTTTTATGTATTCGGTTAATATTAAACCTAGACTAAAAGGTCACAAATTAAAATTTTAATACTCAGTAAACATATGTTATTAAAAAGAAGTAAAGGAGCAATAAAGTTAATGGAATCTCATGGAGAGGAATTGTAATATCAATATTTTTAACAAGCACAGACACACACAAAGAATGAGGAAAGAATTCATTATAGACATGAATTCTGTCAGAAGGGGCCCTGTGGGAGACTGATTCTTATTACCATATCCTGGTTGGAAGGGAATGAAGTGGGGTTATTGCTAGTGCAGTCAATGATTTGCCTTTTCTCTGGTGAATTGACTTCAGTAGGTGACTTTATTTCTTCACATTAGGCAGCTGGAAATGTGTATTGATTTATTTCCTTTTCATTGGAGGATCAGCTCTATCAAAGATGGAGCCATAGAAATGTTATATTTGCTGGATATGAGCAAATGCTTTAGTGCCTTTTTTTTTTTTTTTTTTTAATTTTTTTTTTTTGTCTGAATGTTCATAAGATTTTTAGGAGCCAAATAAAGTTCAGCTCAATGAGATAGAAAACTCACTTTGTGCATATATGTGTAGTACTATTCTCTCTGCCAACACTATTGTTAAGACCTGAAGCTCTTTTATAAAAATCTTTTTTTTTTTTAAAGGGATAAAAAGTCCTGTAGGCCTTTTGCTCCAAGAATATGTGTGATTGAAGAACATGTTTTTAAAGTTAAATTCTCATTTATGCAGTGACAGTGTTAGCTGTGGAGGGTATTCAGGTTTTTGGCGTTTTGAACACAGAATTGGACAAAATGCACAAATAAAGCAAGGAAAGAAGCAACAAAAGCAGAGATTCATTAAAAAATGAAAGTACACTCCACAGAGTGGGAGAGGGGTCCTACCATAGGGGCTCAAGAGCCTGGTTACAGAATTTTCTGGGGTTTAAATACCCTCAAGAGGTTTCCCATTGGTCACTTGGTGAACACCCCATGCAAATGAAGTAGTGCCCCAAAAGCAGACTGATTGGTTGAGGAAAACCAGTCAGAGGCTGAAGTTACAAAATTACACTTGTATGCCAGGTGTGGTGGTTCACACTTATAATGCCAGCAGTTTGGGAAGCCCAGGTGGGGCGGATTACGAGTTCAGGCATTCCAGACTGGTCTGGCTAACATAGTGAAACCCTGTCTCTACTAAAAATACAAAAATTAGCCGCCTGGTGGCACGTGTCTGTAATCCCAGTTGCTTGGGAGGCTGAGGCAGGAGAACTGCTTGAACCTGGAATGCTGCAGTGAGCTCCAGCCTGGGCGACAGAGCAAGACTCTATCTTGGAAAAAAAAAAGCTACACTTGTACGCAAACAAAGGCTTAGCTGGCAGTTGGCCAGATTGATTGGAGAAAGCAATCAATTAGAGGCTGAAATGAAGTTATAAAGTTATATTCCTATGTAAACATTTGATTGGTTGAGAAAAGCAGCCAATCATAGGTACTTTCAATTTTTCATTTGCCGCTCAGAAAAGTGGGACGGGTTTGCAAAGGGAGTAACTTCCAATTCTTTTATTACTTAGGTGTGGAAAGTTGGGGTTTTCCCTTTGAGTTAGTTTTAGGAAGTCAGCATGAATTGGCTTTAGGTTCCCTGCTTCAAGACTCCATTCTCTTGCCTCAACAGTGGTATGACCCTTTTCTAAGACTGTGTTCTTCTTAAGATTTTAATTTTGTTTTAAATGTTCTTTGTCCTGCTGCAAAATTCGTTTTGTTTTGTTTTTAATTATGTAATTATATTTTGTTATTGCAGGCAATGTTCTATGATTTTTGGCTTGATTGTTTGTTAGAAATTATCTAACCAAGTCTTTCATTTCATAAATGAGAGATTGAGGGATTAAAAAAGTGAGGTGTGGCTGGGTGTGGTGGCTCATGCCTGTAATCCCAGCACTTTGGGAGGCTGAGGTGGGAATTTGAGGTTGGGAGTTTGAGACCAGTCTGACCAACATGGAGAAAGCGTGTCTCTACCAAAAATACAGAATTAGCCAGGCTGGTGGTGCATGCCTGTAATCCCAGCTAATTGGGAGGCTGAGGCAGGATAATCGCTTGAACCTGGGAGGTGGAGGTTGCTATGAGCTGAGATTGCGCCATTGCACTCCAGCTTGGGCAACAATTGTGAAACACTGTCTCAAAAAAGAAAAAAGAAATAAAAAAGAAAGCAGGTGATTTGTCCTAAATTTAGTTAAAATATTATTGAAAGAATACTTTTCACTTAACACTGTTTGAAATTCTCTGTTTATGTTAAACTCTGAGACAGATAATTTTGACTATCATGATGCTAAAATTATAAATGACACCTATAATATTGAGATCTTTAAGATAGTTTTTTTTTCTTTTATTCTGAATACAAACATAAGATACATGACAGATGGTAAAGGTGAATAAATATACAAAAGGCCAAGAATTCTTATAGTTTCTTTGTATTCTTAACATTTGTTCTAAATTTTGAAAATTACTAAAATTACAAGACATATTTCTTAAAAAGAATTTATTCTAGGTTTATCATGAGATGACAATTTATAGCTGCCATTTATCTTAACAGGTTGAAGAAATATGGATGTCAACACGAAATTGTTCATCAGCATTATTTGTACCAGCTTTTTCACCTTTCAGCTTCTCTTCTACTTTGTAAGTTACTGGTTTTCAGCAAAAGTTTCTCCAGGTTTCAATAGTCTCAGCTTTGAAAAGAAGATTGAATGGAACTCAAGGTAAAGCATATGAAAATGTAATTGATGAAAAGAAACTAGTTTATTGGATACAATTATTTAAAATATTTTGAAATGTCTTTCATTTAGGATCTAATAAAATGTAAGGCCAAATTTTTATTTGATCTTAGGAGTAAAAGAAAAAACAAATAGATGATCTCATACAAACTAGTTTAAGAATTCTTATATTGAAAGATGTTAGGAGAAATGTATTTAAGTTTCTGGGGAGGTGTGTGAAGATGAACTAGACTCCAGCTGACTGTGGATGAGTACTAGCACTTTTGTGTTCTTTGGAATATTTGTAACAAACATCTCCTTTGAAAATGATGATGGAAGAAAAAGTTAGTTGTACTTTTGAGTAGCTTATACCATATAGCATTGGCCAACTTAGCCAGGCCTGGGGCAATTAAACTCTACACACCAGAGACCAACGTGTGCAGTCAGTACATATGAATCTTCTCATGAACTTTGCATTATAATTTAGAGCCCTCCAGCATTTATTTTGTTACATAATTTTAAAGTAAAAATTGCTTTTAAGATTTCTTTTAAAACAAAAAAGTAAATGGAGAAAGGATTAGACATCTATTCATACAGAAATCTGCTGGAGCTTTAGTTTTTATTTTTATTTTATGTTTTTTTTGAGACAGAATCTTGCCCTGTCGCTCAGGCTAGAGTGCAGTGGCGCAATCTTGGCTCACTGCAGCTTCTACCTCCTGGGTTCAAGCGATTCTCCTGCCTCAGCCTTCTGAGTTGCTAGGACAACAGGCATGCACCATCATGCTCAGCTGATTTTTGTATTTTTAGTAGAGACAGGGTTTTACTATGTTGGCCAGGCTGGTCTCGAACTCCTGACCTCTGGTGATCCACCCACCTTACCCTCCCAAAGTGCTGGGATTACAGGCATGAGTCACCACACTCTGCCAGAGTTTTAAAAAGTTGGTTGCAATATTTTTGTGTGTGTATGACTCGTTAATCTCACAAGATTTCCAACACAAAATGGCTCAGATGACTGCTTCACTTGCTTTAGAGCATTTTATGTGCCCAAACATTGCTGCCCATTTGTAAACTTCGGTGAGGTGGAGGAGCTGTGGCCATATATTTTTTTTGTTGCAATTTAGTTGAAGTTAATACTAACCATAAAATGCAAGTCTCTAAAGTTTGCTATAATTATCTTTCATTGAAATTTCCTTTTACAATTCAAGAAATTGTTAGTATCTGAATATTTATTTGAGAATGGTCGTATTTGACTTGAAATTCCCCTTTTTTGAACCAAATTGGTTTGCAGGCATCTACTTTTATAACTCAGACTGTGAATTTAAGAAGACTCTAGCTGTTTTCTTTTGCACTTTACAATGATATATCAGGTTCATACATGCCAAAGTTCTTTTCAGCCAGAAAGCAAAAATTATTTCTTCACTTATTTTCAAAAAAAAGCAGTATGATTATTTTGTCTGAAGACTAGCACAAAAATATTGTTCAAATGTGTTATACTAGAGATACCATTACTTTAAAAAATATTTCCTAACATATGAAGATAGATGGAATGGTAGCAAGGAGAAGGGGATACATAAATTCTCTGATTAAATTTTGAACTATTTTGACTTCCTTTTTACTGTGGTTAGGACAGGGAAAGGTATTTGAATGTTAGGTAGCTGCAAGTCAAAGAAATAGAGACGGTACAGAGAGATAGAAGCCAAGATGAAAATGAAATGAAATTGAAAAAATATTTACCACTGCCATTCTATGATATGGGAAATACCATTTGGGAAACTGAGTTTCTATTTGAAAAAGGAGTCTGGGATTATATAAAATTCATTTAGGTATTCAATGGCATTTTCTCTTTCTCTGAAGGTTGCTCCTGCTTCTCACTCCAGCTTTGTTTACATAGGACTTAAGCTGTGAGGTAGAGTCCAAAGTAGGAAAAGGAGGCTATATTTTGTGTAAAGTATGTATAAATGTCTTAAAAATCAGCCTCCAGTTTGAAAAGTACAGATAAACACACATAATTCTTTCTAGTAATCAGGAAAGAGTCTCTGAACAATGAGTGGTCTGAGCCATCTAGTACACAAAGAACTGGAGGAAAATCAGCTACTGGAAGTGCTCACTTGAGAGACAGCAGTGTGATTAAAAGTGAGAAATTTCTGTACTTACTTGCAACTTTTTCTAAAAACATATATACTTACAGGTGTTAGATCTTATAAAATAAAAAAATATTAATTATTTATATCCAGTTTGTTACCTATCACATCAAAAGTCTTAGTGTGTTGAAATACTACGAATTTTTTAATCTTTCTCTAAAATTGAACTCTTTTTGACTGAGCTATATAATTTCTGTTGGCATTATTTACACTACTCGTGATTAAATCAGTAACTTAAAATTGCTCTTCTAAAATGGTCATTAATCATTTCTTTAGAGTGTTGTCTCTTTATGTGTAAAAACATTTCTAACCTCTTTGAAAAAAATTGAAATATTTTATCTTGGGTAGCATCTTGGAATTTCTTTTTAGATACTAAGGAATCTAATTTTTCATTTGCTAGGAATCTGATCTTAAATAATAAAATATAAAATTATTTAACAGAAGTTTCTGAAAATATAGTATAGACTTTTAATACGGATAGTGTATGAGTGAGAACAGGGTATTTGTTTTTCCTCTTCATTGTAGAGGGAGGTATTTGACTGGACTAAGTAACATTTAACTTTTCTATCCTGAATATCCATTTCTGTCAGCTAAGGGCCTAGAATGCTTTTCATTTACCACATAGCTTCTCAAAAGAGAAGTGAATCTGAGGCCTGAGTGTCAGAAATTAAAAGTTAGGTCTTTTTTTTAAAAGGGAGCTTTCTGACTACGGTTACAAAACAGTAAAACAAGGTAGTGAGAGAGGTTATATATTTTTACTTTTCTAGAACTTTTGAATAACAATAGAGAGCTGGCTGTATGATCATTTAGATGGAGTGTTTTGTTTGATATCAAGGAACTTAACTTTTTTTNTTTTTTTTGAGACAGAGTCTCACTCTTGTCACCCTGGCTGAAGTACAATGGTGTGATCTTTGCTCACTGAAACCCCTCCCTCCCAGGTTCAAGCAATTCTTGTGTCTCAGCCTCCCAAGTAGCTGGGATTACAGGCGTGTACCACCACACCCAGCTAATTTTTGTATTTTTGGTAGAGATGGAATTTCGCCTTGTTGGCTAGGCTGGTCTCAAACTCCTGACCTCAGATGACCTGCCTGCTTTGGCCTCCCAAAGTGCTGGGATTATAGGCGTGAGCCACCACATTTGGCCAAGGAATTTACATTATTATCCTGTGCTCAAATGTAATACTGGAGTGCTTGGCATGAAAATTACAGACTTGTAAATCAGATAAATTGGATTAATTATTCACATTTCAAAATGATTCTTAGGTATTTAAATGTTACTTGGTCAATGCCTTTAAATTAGTGAGAATCTTTCCATATTTAAAATATGGCTTGATTTAGCATGATAGATCTATTTTGTAACACGTCATCTATTAGGTCAAGTATATTGGTTTTTCAAGTTACAATGAAATTTTCTGATACCAAGCCTAATATTAGTTGATATATTTTACTTACTTTTAAAGATCTGGGATCATATTGTAGAGAAAAATTTATTGCACACTAGTAATTTTTAGAGAGAAAACTTTGCTGTTCCTCTCATCTTTTATCCTAATGAAGAGAAAAGAAGCTTTGTTACTTGTGAACTTCTTTATAAAGATGAGAGAAATCTGAAATTCTTGGGTAAAAAACTTCATTGTATGGATAAATACAGTTTCCTGAATATAGTTCTTTAAGTAACATTATATAGAGCTTGAGAATTGGTCACGTCATTAAATTTATTAACAAGATATATTCATAGAAACTGATGGCTTTTATGTTAAACTTATTCCTTCTATAAAAGAAAACTTGACCTGGATCTTGAGAACGTTGTGCTTTTACTTGGGTGTTTCTTTTAAAAACAAATTTTCTGTATAAATTCATGGTCCTCAATTTCTCTATTTAGAAGTGCTTTCATAATAATGATAAAGAGGCACTAATAATTCCCTCACTTTCTTACAAATTGTTGCAAGAATCAAGTACAATGGTGCAGGTCAATGTACTTTAAAAACTGAAGTCTCCCAAGAAATAAATCTTCATATTATGATCCATTTGAATTGTTTTAAGGATACGGAGTTTGTTAAGGTCAGTAGATTGGAAGCTGAATGGAGCAGGAAACTTATCCTGCATTGACGCTGTTGGGGCTGGAGCTTGGAGCAGGGTACAGGGTAGTGGCCTTGCCAGTTGCCATCTGTCTGCACAGAAGTCTGTCAGCTGCATCATCCTGTATGCATCTGTCTTAGAACTTTTAACCAAGAAGTGATTCACCTATTCTCCAGCAGGAGATTGTAGGCCTCCTTATCTTTCTCCTTCTTTATTCCAAAGTAAAGCTGTGGCCCTTGGCTTTCTAAATGGCAATTTTGCATTATACTCTCCGTTATACTCACTCTGGTATATAAATGCTTCAAGGTGTAACTTGTTCAGAATGTTCTATGTCTTGTCAGAATTAGTTAAATTTTATTGCAAAGAAGGTAAAATCTTTGTGTTTCATTTCAGGGTAGTATCCACATGCCATTCTTTGGTGGTTGGTATTTTTGGCCTGTACATTTTCTTATTCGATGAGGCTACTAAAGCTGATCCACTTTGGTAAGCCGTTTCTTTTTCTAAGATTGCCAATTTGATTTATGTTTTGATATTAATTATTTATAAGAACATCACTTACTTTAAAACAGAAAATATATCGATGGCATATGCGTTATTAAAATGCTTGCGTTCAGACATTTCAGCAAAGTGCATTTAAATGATTTATTTTAGATTTGAATACAAATGAAGGCCATTTTGCCTCAGTGTAGCAATTGTTATCCCAAACAAGGAGAATATGATGATAATTTAAACATTTTTACTGTGTTAATGAGTAAAGCAAAGTTATTGTAATCACGGTTCTGAAGAAAAATAAATTATTGAGATAGGATAGTCAACTTGGATAATGTCTACTTAAGACTTTTTTGCCTCCAATTTATGTTTGACTCATCGTTTGATATCAAAGAGATGAGAGTTACAGATGGCCGTGTGAGAGGAATTTAGTACCCCAAGATTTGAAGCACATGCACTAATAACTATGTTCAGCAGTAATAGGTTAACATGTAAGATGGTTCTTTTAGAAAAATGTAAATGTCATTCCAATGGCAGACATTTTGCAAACTGTTTCTTGGTGTTATATGAGAAGGCTTAGTTCAGCTTAGTTTGAGAGAGGAGGCACGTTTGAAGAAGCACTGCATTGAGATGTGGTTGTTGTGGGCTCGGGGATGTAGGGTGATTTAGCCTGCTCTTTTGACCACCATCATTTGACTGCAAGGATTTTTTAAATTCAGAAATATAAAATTATTCCCATAAGAATTATATCAGGATTGATACATTTTCATTGGGATGCTGTTTTTCTTTTTTTTCTTTTTATTTATTTATTTATTTATTTTTGAGACAGAGTCTTGCTCTGTTGCCAGGCGCCAGGCTGGAGTGCAGTGGTGCGATCTTGGCTCACTGCAACCTTCGCCTCCCAGATTCAAGCAATTCTCCTGCTTCCAAGTAGTTGGGACTACAGGCACCCACCACCACGCCGAGCTAATTTTTGTATTTTTTAGTAGAGACAGGGTTTCACCACGTTGGCCAGGATGGTCTCAATCATTTGACCTCATGATCCACCTGCCTCAGCCCCCCAACAGGTGTGAGCCACTGTGCCCAGCCTGGTAAAATTATTTTAGTAAAACTTTTAGATAATATTTGTAAGAAATTATGGTAACCATGTGGTTAGAAGCATTATCATAGTTAAAACAATACTTTGTGCATTGACAGGTTTAGAATAGGATCCAGAATTGATAGGAGACACGTCTTAGGTAACTTAATACATTGGAGTGTCCACTGTAGTTGGCCCTTAGGTGTACTCTAAATCCATTATAAATGCCACTGGTGGTATGAAGGATGACCTCCCAATTTAAGACAAAACAGATGCTATGCTGTACCCTGGATTTAGGGATTCTGGGAATAGTTTTAAAAACTTAAGTTTGGAAAATGCACTGGGTACTATTAGTCATCCCCAAGAGGTCTGTTCCTAATATTGGGGACCTCAATGTGGATTGACTTTAGATACTTTAGAAGATTTCAGCCTAGTTTGAATTCTGAGTTGAAGATTTATCCTCAAGGAAAATTTGGAGACTAGCTTAGTGCCAGAGTAAAATTCATGGAAGGCATGGGCTCTAGAAGATCTCTTGATTAAAACAGTTCATCTTGGACAAAAAGGCTACTAGATTTCCTGGGAACAGCATCTTTCTCCTAACACCAGTAGCACAGGATGCGTCACGGTTCGGTTAAACTGTCATTGTGTGTTTTCCAATGTTTTTTGAAAATGTCAGCTTACCATTCGAGAATCTATAGAAAGCAATTTCATTATATTTAAATCTCTATAGAAAAAAGAAGTATCAGTTATCTATAACCTATATACTTAATAAAGGAACCTTTTTTTTTTTTTTTTTTTCCAGGGGTGGTCCATCACTTGCAAACGCAAATATTGCTATTGCTTCAGGCTACCTCATTTCTGGTATGTGAGTTGTTGTTTTATTGCCTAATTCTTTTTAAGCTACTCACAGAATTATACAAAGAATACAGAGTCTGTGCTTTTGGTTTATTTGAGACATAGCTTTTAGGACACATACAGAGGAAAAAGTACTTGCCTTGATGGTAGAACATGAAATGTCTTTTCATGAAATGGTTTTCTGGTTCTCAATTAAGATCAGAGTTACAGAGTGAGGCCTCAAACAACTGAGGCCTGGACATTTTTTATCAGCAAGGACATGGTCCCCTTTTGTCCTAACAAGGCTTTCAAGTGCAGTGACTGTGAGGCTAACAAAGTTTAACTTTTAGGGTCCCTCGCTTGCAAGAGTTCTTGAAATGTGTTCCAGTAGTCATGGTTTTGTGTTTTGGTAAAATTTGCAAAAGTAAGCTGTTTCAGCTGTAGTCAGTTAAGGGGATGGACTTTTTCTACTCCACATTCCCCTCTTATTTTACCTCATGTTGGATGGGGTTGGAGTTGCCTTTTTTTTTTTTTTTTTTTTTTTTTTTTTTTTTTTTTTTTTT